ACTATAACTAATAAAGAAACGTAACGTACTACTTACTTACCTTACTACTACTACTATATATATATCTATTAGTTTAGTTAGTTATCTCTCCTCCCTCCCTCCCTCTCTCTCTCTCTCTCTATATATATATATATATATATATATATATATATATATATGAAAAAGTTGAGATTAGCTCATTAGCTCATATGAACATATGAGCCCAACAGTTTAGATTGAATCTGGGACGATCTGACGATCACAGATGTTCGGTAGTATTTGAATTTTATTTTTTTTCTATAAATTCAAATCACATGAAAGTTTAAGCATGTGTTTATAAAAAAATATGTGAATTTTTGAAAAATATTAAAAAAATAGTTTACATGAAATAAATTGATCAAAATACTTTCGAAAAGCTTCGAGGGATATTTTGGTCATTTTGTTTTTATAAATAATTGTTTTTATATTTTTATTAGGTGCGTTTTGATGAGAAAAACACTCGTCTAAAATTTCAAGTGATTTGGATTTGTAGAAAAATAAATAAAATTTAAGCACTATCGGACATTCGTGATCGTTAGATCGGTCCCGATTCAATTTGAGTCGTTGGTAGTGGGTTAATATCAACTTATATATATATATATGTAGGAAAACACTACGTAATGCCTATAGGCGAAAATGAACCGTGATTTTGCCTTATGCTCATCATCGTCCAAAGTTCATCGTACGGTCACAGTTGTTCGATAGTTCTTTAATTTTCAATTTTTTTTTTACAAATCGGAATGATCGTTTGAAATGAGTGTTTATAAAAAATAGGAAAATCAAATAAAAATATAAAAGTAATAATTTCAAAAATATAAATTGATCAAAATACCTTTGAAAATTTAAAAGGGTATTTTGGTAGATTTATATTTTACGAAATATTTTTTTGCATATTTTTATTAGGTGCGCTTCATTAAGATGTACACACGCTTCAAATTTCAGATCATTCCAATTTATAGAAAAAAAATTGAAAATAAAAACAGTCGGATAATTGTGACCGTATGATGAATTTTGGATGATGATGAGCATAGACGCAATCACTGTTCATTTTTTTCCTATAGGCGTTGACAAGTATTTTGGTCAATTTATTAGTGAGACGTACTTAATAAAAACATAAAAAGAATAATTCGTGAAAAAAATTGACCAAAATACCCTTGAAACTTTTGGGGGGTGTTTTGGTCAATTTATTTCATGTAAAATATTTTTTTGATATTTTTCGTAGATTTGTTTATTTTTTATGAACACACGTTCTAAATTTCATATCATTCCGATTCGTTGAAAAAAAATGAAAAATGAAACTGTCGGACAATCGCGACCGTGTGATGAATTTTGGACGGTGATGAGGGTAGACGAAATTATTGTTCATTTTCGCCTATAAGTGTTTTCTAGTAACTTTCATATATATATATATATATATATATATATATATATATATATATATAATAGTTAGTTAGTAGTAGACGACGGTACGTACGTAAACTAATAACTAAGTAACGTACGTCCTACTTAACTTAAACTTTAAAGTTTTAAGGTTAA